GAAAGCACTGAGACCCAAAGTTTAGGGCAGTAAATATTTAGAACTTGGGAAGATACTCTGTAGCAGAATGTAGGACCCGCAGAGACTGCATCAAGTGGTATTTAGCGCCGGCCCTAGATAAGCCTTAAGTATATATGGAAATTTATTTATTCAAAATTCAAATTAGCCTTAAGCATGTGCAAGAAATAGACATAGGTATAATAATAATTAATAGAATTCGGTCTTAATTCAGTACACGATAGAAGCAAGAAAAAAATTAGCGGAACAACTTGCCTTTTGTTGCCAATCATATGATACATAGTCAATAATGTTTTGCTAGACATTATTAGCTGGCTAAAATTATCTTTACTGATTTTTCTAAGGAATTTCGGTTAATGCAGCAGACTGTGCTGCCTTTTAATCTTTTAATTTGATCCAGCTTATTATTTTCTGCAGACTGTTATTATTACAGTAACTTTATAAAAAATTAAAGCTTCAATTTTTTTATTATGTCGAAAAGAGTTTTTACTTCTGAAGCTGCTAAAGGATCTGCAAAGCGAAAGATAAAAAGTTCCATTAGATAAAAAGTGGAATTGCTGCAAAAAATCAATAAAGGCATATCAGTCTCAAAATTATGCATTGGAAAGTCAACTGTATATGAGATAAGAAAAAGAAACTTTTTGAGGATTCAGACACCCTAATCACAATGAATAACAGAAAAATTGTTCCTTATGCTAAGTGACGATCATGACAAAGTGATGATTGAATGGGTCAGACGGCATCGCAGCGAGGATGTGCCTTTGACGGGTCCAATGCTAATGGCTCAAGACAAAATATTTCATGAAGAAATGAACTTAAAAACTGAGTGCACATATTTTTTTCGCCAGTTTGGTGAGCTAAATTTAAAACGCATGGTAGCGTAATTAAAAATTTCAGTGCCCCAACACATCAGTAACGGCAGCGAATTGTAATTATGTTTTAGATCAGAAAATACCACTGATCGACGTGAATACACTGGCAGAGAGGTTATTGAAAAAGAAAAAATTTCGATGACAAGTTAGTTGGAATTCTTGGACAGCAATTACAGGACTTTAACGTGAAACTTTGTAACTGAAAAAAAAATTATGTATGTTTATAGAATTAAAGAAATATTAGCACAAAAAATAAGCAACTTAAAACTACATTGAAAGAAAATTAAATTGCTTTTGTTTAAATTTTGATACCCTTTAGATTATAAATGATCTTATTTCATAAATTATGATTTCATATTTTAATTGTATAATTTCTGCATGCCATCTTACTAGAGTTAAGACTGATGATTTAATACCTGGAAAAATCCCAAAAACGGTATCGCTGAAGTCCTGACGAATCTGGATCTTAGACTTTGTACTGTATATCCTTTCTCTTATCATAATTCAATAATTTTTTGAAAGCATAACTATTTTTTTCCTTCATTACTTGTTTTTGATATATGTAAGATGCAAAAAATTACCACATTGTATTTTTAGTTATTCAAGACATCCAAGTAGCGAAGTGCATATATTATCTAAAAGCGCATAAAATACTTTATTTCCAAGTTTAGACACACTCTTAGAACCAAGTACACAAAACACCTTTCACATGATTGCTGAAAATGAAAATATAGATACTACATGCTCTTGATGAATACTATGACCTGCCACATGAGAAAAACTATCCATCAAGAAGTTACAATTTGGCATAAAATACAACATGCAACAAGCTTTTCATGCAAATCTTATAAAAAATATTTACATAAAGAGTATTTTACCAACTACCATACCAGAATAACTACTTGATTAAATACTACACAATTTTTATTGAAATTTTTTTTAATATTTTCCATTATTTGTGTTACAGAATATGACAGGATTAAGGTTCAATTTGAAACAAAACACAGTGATTCTCAAGTTCTTAAATAATGTAAATTAGATATATTAATTTTCCCCACACCTGTTTTGCATACATCAAGTACACAAAGAACTTGAAATAATATTTACTTGTTTTTTGAATATATATACTTTATTCCACTATTAAAACTACTGAATTTCATTTTGACTATGTAATAAAATTACAAATACAATAGAGTTTTTTCTAATGCACTTTCTAACAGAATTTTGTTATGTCAATTAAAATAATAATAATAAAAATTCTGTGGAATTTTGGGCCTTTATTTATACTGGACAAAATTTTGCCATTAAAATAAAGCTAAATTGAAAATCAGAAATAACCATGTCCTTTAACTATACAGAAGATCAAAATTATCTGAAACTGAATGTTCTTTAGATGAAGATACTACGTAAATCCAATATAAGGAATAATTTTCTTACCTAATATTTCATATAGCTTCTTAATCTTTTTGTGACCCCAAAAAATTAATGAATATTTTCCCTTTAACGTTTACTGTATGTGTCATAGGAACAAAAGCATTGCATTTTACATAATGACTCTTTTATATACCTGGGGAAGGATATATGCAATCTGCTGTCTCCACTATTTTCAGCAAAAATATTAGAGACTTCATTCTAAAATAAAATCATTATTTTTTTCTGTGTAAAAGTGACTGCAAATTTGAAAAGGATTTTTTAAATTTATAATTTTATTTATGAGTTCATAGAAGTCAGTCATACTACCTACATATGAATTTATTACCACAGCAGTAAAACCTAAATTTTTCAATGAAATACGAAATATTTTTTATTTTGCATAGTAATATTGCCTAGTGAAGTAATAACTAAGAATTTGACAAAAATGGGGGGGAAAAGTGAAGTAAAGCATTTGGAGTCTACATACTTAAAAAGCTGAATTTCATTAAAATATAAAATTTTGGGGATGTAGAGCCTTTCATGCTGCAAATCATTATAAATTTTACATAATCAACAGCTACATTCTTTCATTTTTATTTTAATCTCTCTTTTTAGTAATAGTGAACTATTTCAAGCAAAAACTAACACTCATTTATTTAAAGTATTTGTAGGTAAATGCAGAGGATACGTTAAAGAACATAAACAAATTTCTGCTTCAAAGTTAGCAGTTTATCATTTTTAATAACATTCTTAAAAAGTTTAATAGAATTAACAATTTTGTAAAAATTGTGTTAGTTTAATTTTAAAAAAATCACTTAATTTCTAATAAAATTGAGTCATTGGCATAATTTAAGGTATAGATTTGAATCATTAGAAAAAGAATTCGCAAGTCATTTCAGAAAAGGTCCAATTTTGTGTCAAAATATGTATGTTCAAGAAATATTATATGTAAATCTAATATCCTCACTCGTGCTTTCAAGACAAAGTGCAGACTAATTGGCCAGTCAAGGAAATTTCACTGACTGGCCAATCAATGGGAATACTGCCCCTTTTTGAGGAGGAAGGAAACTTACAATACATCCAATTCCTATACTTGACAATAAGCCCTTCAACTTTGTTGAAAGTTAGATGGGTTTCGTCAAATTGTTTTGAAACGTAAAACATATGACATTAAAGGGGAAAATCAATGTTGACTTCATGATTACAAAAAGAAAAAGCTGAATAGTTAGGAAAATAATATTTTTATGCTCATTCAAATTAAATGCTGGCATGAAATTACATTACATTTACCATGCACTCGTTCATGAATAAAATGGACACAACGTGCATAGTTTACTACGACACTTAATCGAAATGGAGCTAGCTACTACCATTCTTGTTTCAATTCAAACAGCTACAATCATTCCCGTTTTGAGATGCTAGTCACCCTCATTAGAATGGATGTTTTTAATTGACACACTCATCATTTTAAAAATATAAAATTAGTTACTTCCAATTAGTCTGCCAACAAATTTCAAACTAGTCAGTTTTAATCCATACGTACTCATAATTATCACTGTTCTAAGAAGAGTTCTTAAAATTTGTTTTATGGCATAAGCATATCAGATTTGATTTTTATTGGTAGTAGCGTAATTGAAATTTTGTTGTTGCTATATCATTCTTCTTGTGATGATAATTTGGTCTTCTGTTTTCAGTAATTGATTCAAATTTAAAAATAACCACTACAAAATTAATCATTAATAAATGCTTATGCATCTAAATTAATAAAGAAATTGTTCTCTTCAAATATTTTTAATCATCCATTATGGAGAAGCAGAAAAGAAAATTAATATATTATTATAACAATGAATGGAGAAAAAATGCTTTATTGATTATAAGAAAATGACCTGGGTTTCTTGTGCAAAAATAAAGTAGCTCAATATAACATATAATACCTCAAATAAATGCAACACTAAAAGATAATTTTATTATCCATTCCATTTTGGTGGAATGGTATCCATTCCAATTTTGATAGCAATTATCCTGCGAATTCTGAAATATAAAGATCCGAGATTTCATTCTGAAAATCTGCAATTACTAATGTAAAACACTTTTTCACTAAATTGTACCAAACATCAATAATAGGGATGAATACACCGATTAAAAGTGAGCATTTGTAACCTAAAAAGAAAAAAAGGATATTATCTGATTTCATCTATGATGATCCAAAGTATTACTTGATTTTTAACCAAAAATATTTGCATAAAAATATCACTTAGGTTTTATGGAGTTGTGCTTCTCCTTTAAAATTTTTCTTCGTCAAATCTTGTAACCACTCATGCAAAAATTGCACTTTTTTCTGCCAGGATCAGCACAATTATAAATCCAGGACTGTCCAGGTCAATCCCATATATCAAGTAATCCTAATAACAGATTTCCAAATTCTTACTGGCAATACTTTAATACATTTTACATACAGCCTATATAAATGACCCTACTTTAAAAGATACTATTCAGTGACAGAAAAACTACTAATTTAGATAAATGAACAACTTAACCCCCAAAATACTTACTGCATTAAGTTCGTCTTGTATGTTTTAATGCAAGCATCAAATGTATTCAATATATACAAAATAAAGGTACTAAAATTTATGCATATTTAAATTACATTACTGCTACAGAAAAATTAAAAATTATATGAAAAAATCAAACACATACTTGGATCTGGAGGTGGAGGAGGGATCTCTGTTGAATCAATTTCTCCTTGCTCCAAAGACTCAATCAGAGCATCACACATCTGAAATTCTACTTTGTTACATTTTGCATGTCAAGCAAATTGCATTTAGCAAAATTAAAAATGAAAATCTTCATATGGTTTAGATAAATATTTGCAAATAATTACGCTACATTGCATCTGAGAACTGTCAGTGAATATCAACAAATAAAACATTTATTTGAACATAAAAAGAAATTATAACAAAATCTAAAATTAAATGTTTATACTATTAAATCGCCTGAGCTATCTAAAACAACCGAGTCTTCAGAACAAGTTTTATGTTGGTTTTCCAAGGGTTCCACTAAGAGAAATTTGGGTCTCTAACTCACTTTTCTTTTTCATTCCCCCCTCTCTGTTCCAAATTGATCATTTTCTATTAATCAGCCACAGATATCCAAACTTTTGCCAACATACAAAACAACAGCTAAAATCATTTTTCCACAATTAGCAACTTTTTTGAAAAGCATTACCAAAGTATTGATTGTCCCAAATATTGCTGGTGTTGAATATAAGATTTAGAGGGCTTATACATGCAAAATATAAAAAATATGATGGCTTAGCTCTACGTGAACCTCTAATTAACTTTCCCACAATTTCAGGACCTTCCCCCTAGAACAGTACTTTTGAGAACATTCTGGCATGTTATGTAACCACTACTATAATGCAGAGTTCGTGAAATTTTTCATCAGACTGCTTTCTCCGTCTACTGCTATGAGACCTTTACTTCCACTCTTCCCTTGTTTGAACAATATGACGCAGTAAATTTAAAGTTAATTCTATTTAGTTTAAATTACTATCACATATGTAATCTTGGAGAATCTAAAAGAATAATGATTTGCCATTTGAATTGAATAAAGATGTGCGATCAAAACAGCTAACTTCTCTGTCGTCATTTGGATACCGCCTTACAATCCCAGCCATGATGACTGCAATCTGATTATTCTTCTATGTTCCCGGAAATATTACACACATATATATATATAAACAAAATGTAGCTCATTTTCATTTCTCTTGCATTGTTTCCATGACAAATTTAAATTTTTAAGTTTCCATAGTCAGAAAACTTTTTAACGGTGAATTTTAAAGATCAAAGCCTGTACTCATTATAATGTTCAACTTACATATTTACATGACGCTTGAGAAATCAGATTTTTAAACTTTAAGTGGTTGGCTAGATAAGTTTAAAAACTAAGCATAAGCCTGAAGGAATTTTAGAATTTAGAAGTATGTCAGAAGAAATACAACAATACAGCATAAGTTTATGCTGTTTTATCTAACATGAAATCATTAGTCAGGAAAATAAGCCACTTCTGTTTTGTAATTGTTCTTTCAGTTTGGGAAAAATCTAGAGACATTTTTAAGGAATATTAAATTCTGGCCGAAATTACCTCAGACAGCACATCTTGTTTTTTAAAATTTTGCATGTAAAAGTCAAGGAACATTCTACATTTAACATATTAAAGCATTATGAAGATTCTTCTAATTCCAAGTTTTAACTCTGCAGGAAGACTATAAAAATGTTACTAATAAACGCTATATTTTGAAAACTGCTCAACACTCAGTGCTGAAACAGTTCTCAGAAAATTCTGTACTTTATTCAGAGAAATTACATAACTGGAAGTCCATGCCTAAGTTCAGTAGTTAAAGAAATAAAACTTTTTAGCTATTTTTCAAAAATACTACATACATATATGTGATGATAATTTAGTTTATTTCAGAAATTTGATATTAGATGAGTGCCTGACTAGGAAAGACATTATTATTTTGCAGTCATGAATATATTGAGGTTAGCAGATCACTGAAAATATTGATTATATATTAGAAGATGCCAGAAACTTTTGAAGAACTAATCAATAATCCAAACTTATCTTTATTACATGTTGATTATTCTATGACATGGCACATCAGAATCAGGACAATCAGCACCCCACAATTTTGATGATGAAGCATACGCAGCCAAGCAAGAGATATTCTTCAGCTAGCAAACTTAGACAGCAAAAGAGAGTGCATAACTGGATTTCAAAGGTATTTATTTACAGTTAAATTTTTCATTAATATGATTGGCGAAGAGTTATATGCAATACATAAGGTTAAAATAACATGATGCAAAATTAAGTTTTCAAATATGATGCAATTTCAAAAAGTTCTCACTATTTGTAGAAGAGAAAGGGGTGAAGTATTCAAATTAAAAAGAGGAATTAAGGGCTTATTGTCAATTTAAAGTATAATTCACAGTTATATATTTTTTATCTTACACACACACACGCATCTATCTATATATATATACAGTATCTACTGCTTATTAAACTCACATCCCTTCCAAACATTTTGAGCTTATTAAGCGATTCAGTTTAATAGAGCGTGATTTGTAAATTGCAAGTCATGACATCAGTTTTAAACCTTTTGAGTAAAATAATAACTAACAACTAATTCAATAATTAATTCTAAAATAGTAATTGAAAATTAAAATATTTACACAATTTTGAAATTTGTCTTTTAAATTTTTATAAAAATATTTTTAGTTTCTGATGAAATTTAATATCTTATGAACAACTATCCAATTGTGTTTGTTTCATATTGTTCAACAACCGCTTCTCAACTTCACAAAACTGCTAGTATTTTTTTAACTGGCATCTTTCAGTTTTTCTTAGAATTTGCAGTGTTTTTCTAGACTCGACTGCAATGACATGTTATCAATTTTTCCTGCATCACTTTTGTGGAATGAGTATCGCTGAAATTTATAGACTACACAAAGTGGATAAATGAAGATGAAACCAGTAAACACCAAGGTGCTGGACGTCCACATGTCATCAAAGAAAAAAGATGTCGGAGACTCTCGCTTGGTAAAGCAAAATCTCCGCCAGATAGTGGCTCAGCTGTCAGTCCAATACAAATGCAGGTTTAAGTGCAAGTGTTTTGGAATACACAGTTCAGCAGATGCTGTTGGAAATGGGACTGGGTAACAGCCGTCCCACGTGTTTGTTTACAAAGCATCATTGCCAACTACGCCTACAGTGGGTCTAGGTGCTTAGAGACTGGATAAGAGGAGACTGGCTTAGAGACCAAGGATAAGAGGAAAACAGCTGCTTGGTCACATGAATCACATTTTTCATTCATTACATCAAAGGTCATGTCAAGGTATGCCATCATCCAGGCACATTGGCTAGTGGTAGCAGTGTTATGCTTTGGGGGCCGTTCTCACGGGCGGCTCTGGTTTCCTTACATTTGGTACAGCTAAGTCTCCAGTCATCTACCAGGAACTTGTGACATCCATACCAAAGCAAGCAAGTTGCAGCTGTTTGGCAGGTCAAAGGTCGTGCAATGCATTATCGAGTAGGTGGTCATAAAGTTTTTAGTTCAAAAAGAGATTATTTTTAATAGATTATCCTACCTGAGGAAAAATATGTAGGGTCAATAAACTGTGTCTGTAAACTGGAAGTGAAAAAAAATTTAAACCCGAGATATATTTTTGATTTCAAAAATTCTTATTTAGTAATATTTAAATTTTGCACAGTATTTGTTTTGGGTCTCATCAGAGCAGATTATATCTTGAAGACTAATTAAAAAGACATTTTCTTAAAAATTTTTACATTTCACTTCATTCTTTATTTGTATTATAAAAAAATTAATGGCATTACAATACTTTAATTTCATTTTTTGGCACTTTCTTTTCTGATTTATTTCTTGAATCCATAATTATCCAGATATAATTCAGAAATGTGACTCTGTTCAAAATTTTTTTCATTTGCTCCTTGTAAAAGACCACAGAATTTTCAATCACAATGCATAGCCCGACATCCAGAATTATCGAGGCTTTGATGATTCTGGATTTTAGATTCATTTAAACCCAGTAAGATGGTATGTAGAGATGAGAACATTGGGGCTTAGCTTAATGTTTAGGTCAAACAGCAAAATGCTAACTGCCCAATAGGGTCAGTATAAGAGTTGATGTGGCTGCATCTTGCAGCAGAATTTAGAGATGGCAAAAATTAGAATTTAACAGGAGCATCAATCTGCAAAATTAGGGAAGGTTTAAATTTTTAGAATTCAGGAGAGGCAATAGGCAGAATTTAAGGGTTGCAAAATTTTTAGAATTTAGACTTGAGAACAGCCAACAGAATTTAGGACCCACAGATTGTACCGGGCAGCAAAATGAGTAACAGCCACCCTGCGTCTCCCGACCACCCCTTAAGGCATTAAAGTACAATCCTGATCAAGATCAATATGATGTTAATCAGTGTCCTGTTATTGGCTACGGTGCAAACTCTCCAGCCAGCCAGTTTTGAAAGTGAATCTCAGTTAATGCTGATAAATATAAAAATGCATATAAATTTATTTCTGAAAATTAAAAAAAATTTACTCATTTGTTTGAGCTTTTTAATTTAATATTTTTAAACTGATGGCAGTAAAAAAGTTTAAAAACATCTTATAGTAAATTAATATGTAGAGTTTGAGCTACCTCTTCAACAAACAATAAGTTTTTCACAATTTGTGCTTTGATCAGTTCATTGACAGATTATCCGGACAATGTTCACATTTTGCTTCATTTAAACAAAAGTCCATTTTAACAGATAAAACTAAATAATATACATAATTACAAATTTATTATATATCTGTTACATTAGTTTTTTAATTCATGAAGCATGAAAGCATACCATGAATAACAAAAAAGGGTTATTTTTTCCCTAAAAAAAAAACAGAATTAAAAATTGGAATATCTTTTTCTTAACGTTGAAAAACATTGCATAAAATTCAAATTAAATATTTAACTTTAATAAATCATTTACTAGTAAATGTACATTTATAATAACATATAAAACAGATAAATATTAAACATTCAGAAATTTTTTTCATTTCTGCTATTTATGAGGAAATTATTCACAATTAAGTCATTTAAGCATACTGCAATATTAACACTCACTTTTGAAATTTTTAGGTATTCTAATGCTGCATTTTTATCTCCATCACGCTTTGCTTGAAGAGCTGCCTTCTTGTATTGATTTTTTCTCACAATTAAATTCTGGCTTAAAGAAAGCCCTATCAATGAAGACGAAATATATCATGAAAAAACACTCCTAAAATATATATTTTTTTAATCTCTTCCATCAAAATCATTTACAATGACAGATTAAAAAGTAAACTGAAACAGACACTAATTTTTACACTTTCACAATCCATTTTTACTTTACAAATACATGTATTCTAACATAATGTTTTCCAAATGATGCTTCTTGGCATGTAAAATATATTTAATTAACAGAAACAGCAATTTAATTAAAATAAATAGATTACCTGAAAGATATAGCATTATTTAAGCTGATAAAATTAAGCAGTATTTTCCCTAAACACACTGTAAAATAAAATTTAAATATGAATAAATATAATTACTTTAGAATAATACACTGCTCTCAACCGATGCCACTTCATCTAGAATCCACAAAATACTTTCATGGTGGAAAAATATATCATTTCCATCATGATGACTATTATTCCTGTATCACAGACACACAAATTATATTAGTTGCTGAAAGTCTAAAGCATAGCATTAAGCATTTGGATTAAAGTAGAAACTATAATTATGTTCATATCCTACAGAACTCAGTTCCATAGCTTTTCTGAAAGTTTGACAGGAAAGATAATCATTTGTTACAGCAAGAATTCTGATATTCTGGGAGGAGGGGGGGGGGAATTCAACAAACTTTTCCCTTAAATCATAGAAATTACTTCCAAGGAAAATTTTACAATATATACTAAATACATTAATTTACAAAACAAAAGTTTTTAAAACATCCTCCTACCCAAGTGTATTTACTAGTATTCATTTTAGTGCATGTCATTTTACTTAATTCATTCATTTGATGTATATTCAGTTAAATTCACCAAAATTACATTCATTTTAATGCAGTGCTGTCAATCAATAATAAAATTCTTTTGATATCAATGCAAAGAAAAATTTGAATGATATCTATACATTAAGACACAATAACACGCCGAATAAATACTAATTCAGAAGTCAAACAACAAAAATCAGCGTTATATTTGCAAAATTTTCACAGGACTAGTTTCGATGGTTTTACCGAACCACCATCTTCAGCTGCAAAACCGCAAATGAACAAGATAGGAAATAATGATTAGATAAGATAAGAAAGCCTGGACAAGAATAAGCAAGTGGCGCCATCTGTTGGCGATACCAGAACTAAAACATAATTTCTCTAAAAGCCGAAGGCAAATTTGGATTGGAATTAGGATCGTTAACTAGAACAGAAAGATTTTTATGAATGTGAAATGCCTCTAGAAAATCCAGTTCTCCAATGGAAGATGTTTTTTGAATAATTTTGGCAGCAGAAAAATTGAAAGTGTGATTTTCGGACCAACAATGTTGAGCAACAGAAGACTTCTGTGTTTCCTTTTTTTCTAACATATGCCTCATGTTCTTTGACGCGAAATTTTAAAGCTCTCTTAGTTTGGCCAATGTAAATTAAACCACATTGGCAAGGAATCCTATAAATACCCCAGGAATTTCATATCCGGAATGGGGTCCTTGAGTATAGAAGTCGGAATTTTATTGATGGGAGAGAATAAACAACCCGAAAGTTAAATTTCTGCAAAATATGTGCAACTTTATAGCTAATTGATGGAAAGAAGGGAATGACAACAGAATTTTTATAATCTCCTAAAATAAGAGTGTGGCTTTTAGTGTGTTGAGATGAGAATTTTTTAACTGCTTGATTAATAATGTTGGGTGAAAAGCCCCTGTCAATAGCTATTGCTTTTAAATAATTTAGTTCTTCATCTAGGGCTAGTTTGGAGAAGCAAACTTGAAGAGCACGGAAAACATAGGAATAAAATGAAGCTAACTTTTGTTTAGACGGATGACAAGTCCGAAGGTGAAGGATCTTTAGGGATCGGATTATATGGTCCTTCGTTTAAGAGTTTAGTGACACCATCGATGTAAGTGTTCTTATCCATGACGACTAAAGATCCTTCACCTTCGGACTTGTCCAAAATAAAAACTGCGATCAAATCTTCGCAAATCATTTCAAGCAACTTAAAACATTCGCTTATCCCATCTGTTGCTAATTGTGCCAGATTATATGCTCTTCCCAAAATTCATAAAAGTGGTATTCCTTTCCGCCCTATTGTATCAAATTTAGGTACTGCCTCGTATCCATTAGCTAAATATTTAGTTTCTAGATTTTCCACTCTATTAGACAATAACATTTACACCATAAAAAATTCAATAGAGTTTGTAAAAAAGGTTAAAAACATTTCTCCTAGTAATTTACTCATGGTTTCTTTTGATGTAAAATCATTATTCACCAATGTCCCAGTGGAGGGTGCATTAAGATGTCTAGAAACCAGACTTCGCGAATTTCATTTCTCTTGCATCGAAATTGATGAGCTAATTTCTCTCACTCAACTCTGTTTGAAACAAACACATTTTGTTTTCCAAAATAAATATTACAAGCAAACTGAGGGATTAGCCATGGGAAGCCCCCTCAGTCCCATCCTGGCTGATATCTACATGCATTATTATGAATCAAAATTGTTTGAAACTTTAAACTTCCCGGCATGGTTCCGCTACGTAGACGATACTTTTACCCTGTTTGAAGGTAATAAAGATGATTTAAATAAAGTTCTTTCAACAATGAATTCTATTGATCCTGCTATTCAGTTCACTTTTGAACTTGAGACTTGCAATTCTCTTCCGTTTCTCGACATTCTGGTCACACGTAACACATCCAACTTCAGTACTACAGTTTTACCGTAAACCTTCATCGGTTTGCCTTCCACCACACTTTAAATCATGTCATCCGACTAAACAAAAGTTAGCTTCATTTTATTCCTATGTTTTCCGTGCTCTTCAAGTTTGCTCCTCCAAACTAGCCCTTGATGAAGAACTAAATTATTTAAAAGCAATAGCTATTGACAGGGGCTTTTCACCCAACATTATTAATCAAGCAGTTAAAAAATTCTCATCTCAACACACTAAAAGCCACACTCTTATTTTAGGAGATTATAAAAATTCTGTTGTCATTCCCTTCTTTCCATCAATTAGCTATAAAGTTGCACATATTTTGCAGAAATTTAACTTTCGGGTTGTTTATTCTCCCATCAATAAAATTCCGACTTCTATACTCAAGGACCCCATTCCGGATATGAATTCCTGGGGTATTTATAGGATTCCTTGCCAATGTGGTTTAATTTACATTGGCCAAACTAAGAGAGCCTTAAAATTTCGCGTCAAAGAACATGAGGCATATGTTAGAAAAAAGGAAACACAGAAGTCTTCTGTTGCTCAACATTGTTGGTCCGAAAATCACACTTTCAATTTTTCTGCTGCCAAAATTATTCAAAAAACATCTTCCATTGGAGAACTGGATTTTCTAGAGGCATTTCACATTCATAAAAATCTTTCTGTTCTAGTTAACGATCCTAATTCCAATCCAAATTTGCCTTCGGCTTTTAGAGAAATTATGTTTTAGTTCTGGTACGCCAACAGATGGCGCCACTTGCTTATTCTTGTCCAGGCTTTCTTATTTTATCTAATCATTATTTCCTATCTTGTTCATTTGCGGTTTTGCAGCTGAAGATGGTGGTTCGGTAAAACCATCGAAACTAGTCCTGTGAAAATTTTGCAAATATAACGCTGATTTTTGTTGTTTGACTTCTGAATTGATATCTATACATGACATCACAATTCTACTGGACTGAACACAGAAATTCTAAAGTTAGATTTCCAGTAAAATAGTTTGTGTAGTCAGCAGTAGAAAAATTGTATAACACTACAAATTCAAGATCGGAATCCTAAATTAAACAGTTTTCCAAAACAGAAAATAATAAAGCACAATAATTTTTTCTATTCTAAATTCTTCAAACTTTCAGTTTAACAGTACCTAGGAAAGTATCAATAAATCTATGATTAAATTCAACGCAATGTTTTCACTAAAATATGTGCTACAGAAGCAAAATACAATTTTAGTTTCAATGTGACTCTTATAATACACATAAGTTTTCAGCACACAGTGTACACATAATATGCAGATATTTAACTGGCAAACTTGGTTATTCTAATAGAACTATTTTTAGCACATACATCGACAGAAACTTTCCTGAAAATACCAGAAAAGATGATGATCAGTACTTTGGTAGGTTTCTTGCTCTTACATGCTTGTGTATAAAATCTTTTAATTTAGGAATTAATGTAAACAGCTTAATTTGGTCTTGTATCACATATGATTGTTTATTTAAAATTTACAACAGTACCTTGTGCACAACATCATAACACAAACTGATGAAAATCATTGACTAAAAAGACAAACACAACACTAAATAGTTAAAATTGGTGAATATTTAATTTTACCCAATCTGCATAAGGAGTGGGTGACACAAGTGGAAACTGTTTAGAAAGAGAAAAGGTAGGTGTTTGGATGAGGAGTTGCATTCAAATGAAAAATTTCAGGTAACTGTCTTTCTGGAACATTTTTGTCTTAAAGGCATTCCATACAGCTCGAAATTCACTGAGCCTGAGTTTCACTCAAAATTTGTCCAATGTGATTTATTGTTGTCTACATTTAAAAATATTTCTAAATTGTGACATGGAATTGCAAGTGGAAATGTTTATCCTGTAACTTGCTACTGCTTTATTAGGGTGGCATCACCGCAAGAAAATTTTACATCTTGTACTATTTTGTATAAATTTCCAGAATCGAAGCACTAAGATTGTCTTTCCTTTCTTTCTCTGAAGACGTTTTCTCCACAACTGCTTTTTATTGTTTCTTTGGAAGCTGCTCCAGTTATTTCTCATTGAGTTCATTTTATGGCCCTCCAGTAACTCCTCCATGTCTCATTGTTAACATCCAAGATCATGAAAATTGAGAGTTAAAGTCCTCAAAGCTGCTGCCTACAACAAAAACTTGGCTATAATTTCCCTTGGATCAAATTGCGAGGTAAGCAACATAATATATTAAAATGACATTTTCAGAAATCCCTGAGTGTTGATGCTGTGTCATAGGTTAATTCAAATTGTTGCCAAC